CTGTGCCAGGGCTCCAGCAGAGCCCGCAGGCAGCGTTTGCACGGAGATTCCATTGCCCCGGGGGAGGGATTTGGGGTTTGCAGGAGCCATGTGCAGGCAGGGCAGCGATGGGGAGGTGTCCCTGAGCAGCTCCTTGGCAAGGCACAGCAGCCTCTCGCTGCCAGCCCGGCTTCAGAGCTGCCAGGCATGGCCTGCAGCCCCTGAGGGCCTTGTCCCTTTGTTGGCAGGAAGGAGAACAGCACCAAGGCTGAGCGGGTCTTTGCCGAGGTGTCCAAGGCCATCGGGGAGTACCCCGTGGATTTCCGTGGCGCTCGGATCCTGACGGGCAGCGAGGAGGGCTCCTTTGGCTGGATCACTGTCAACTACCTGCTGGGGACACTCGTCAAGGTGCAGCTCGGGGACAGGGAGGGCAGGGGAGCAGGGACAAATCCCTSTTGGAGCTGYAGCCACGTTTCCTCAYTSCCAGAGGAGACAAGAATGGAGGTTTGGGGCAWTGCTCACCAGCCAAATGTCCCCTATGCTCATGGGCTGCAGATTGAACCTCATGAATGTGATGGACAGGATCTTTGTGTCCAGCTCAGCCTGGCCCTGTGCTCTCCTGGTCTGGCACAGGGGTGGATTTTGGGGTCATAGGGATATGGCAGCAATATCAGCCGCTCTCTGGGTGACAGAGTTCCTTTTTCCCTGCTCAGTCTCTGATCCCAGCAGAGGTGCAGCAGCCAAAAGACCACAGCTCAGTGCTCCGTGGAAGTCAGGGTGGGTTGGAGAGGATGTGGGCAGGCAGGGGTAAAACTGGGAGCCAGGAGCACGTGGAAGGTCCCTGCGGGGCTTCTGAGGCCAAAAGTGCTTAAGGGAAGGGAGTGTGGCTGTGAGTCCCCACAGCTCAGCCTAAGCCTCGGTGTGTGTGGGGCCAGTTCTCCTTTGCAGGAATTTGGGAACAKCCCCAGGACACCGAGATTCTGGGGGCTCTGGACCTGGGCGGTGCCTCGACACAAATCACCTTCCAGCCCGGGGTGGCCGTGGAGGACAGGAACACGTCCGTGTTCTTCCGGCTCTACGGCACCAACTACTCCCTGTACAGCCACAGCTACCTGTGCTACGGGCAGAGCCAGGCCCTGAAGATGCTGCTGGCAGCTCTGCAYCAGGTACCTTGGGGCTGCTCAGCCACCTCCCACTGCCATGGAACATCTCCTGCAGCAGTTTTGGGCACGGCTGTGGCAAAGAGTTGGGAACTGGCAGAGCTTTGGATTTTATCTATGGAACCAAAACATTCCCCGCTTTGTGTGGAAGGCAGGGCTGGTTCCAAGCTGGGGCTCTCTTCTCCCCACATCTTGGCCTAGGCTGGCATTTTGTGTCATTTCCCATGCCCAGCTGTGTCCATAGGTTTTTTGCTGTGACCATTGTGTCGCTCTCACTCAAATCCTGCCCAGAGAGAGATTTCTCAGCACAGTCTTGGCACAACTGTGCAGGGACACAGGCAGAGCCCAGCGCTGTGGGAGCCARGGATGCTCGGGGAGCTCTCGGGTGGGACACATCCGATCCTCCTGGGGCGTGGGTGCTGCTGTTTGGGATGGGCTGTGGGAAAGGTCCCGGTGGCATCCCCACCCCATTAATGGCTGTGTCTCTCTCCAGGCCAGCCGGAGTGCCCAGTTCTCCCACCCCTGCTACCCCCGTGGSTACCAGGAGAACGTCACTGTGGCAGAGCTCTATGACAGCCCCTGTGTGCGTGCGCCCAGCTCGGCCAGCCCTGAGCGCGTCCTGACGGTGACGGGGACAGGGGAGCCAGCCRCGTGTGGCACGGCCGTCCGGACACTCTTCAACTTCAGCTGCGGGGCGCAGTGGCCRTGYGGCTTCAACGGGGTCTATCARCCCCCCGTCAGGGGACAGTTCTTCGTAAGCAGCCACATCCCCACAGCTGGGGGAGGGGGGCAGTGGGAGTTTGGGGCATAACCCCTGRAAAATTCTCTTGGAGTCTGCCAGCCCCAGGAGCGGGGATGTATCTGGCACATGGGGACACACAGGGCACTGACCTACGTGCCTGGCAGCAGCAGAGCTGTGCTCTGCCAGCACCAGTCCCTGTCCTTGTGAGCGGTGTTCCCAGACTCCCACAGGATCACTGTCATCCCCTTGCAGTGCTGAGTGGGGCCTTACAGGAGCCCTGGGAGCTTCACTGGCCTCTCACCTTTGGTCTCAACACCCACAGGCCTTCTCGGCGTTTTACCACACSCTTCACTTTCTGAACCTGACAGGAGGGCAGTCCCTGAGCTCKGTCAATGACACCATCACACACATCTGTAACAGCAGCTGGGAGCAGGTGAGATTCTGCCCAAGATTCATTTCASCCGGGCACCGCCAGCCTGAATGCTCATCCTCAGCCCATCCTCYGCTGCAGACAGCTGGAGAGAGCCAGGAGGAGCACCAAGCTCTCTGGAACTGGAGAGAGATGGGAGAGCAGCCTGCAGCCTCCCGGGGCCTCCTTGCTCTCCAGGTCTTCGCTTCTAGCTGCACTGAGGAGCTGTTCCCAGAGGGGCTCACCCAGCACTGCTCCTCGTTCAGCCCCCCGGTTCTCCCCCCACATTTTGGGGCTGTTCCTCAGGGGCTCACCCAGCACTGCTCCCCGTTCAGCCCCCCGTTCTCCCCCTGTTGCAGGTGCAGAAGTTGTTCCCCTTGGCAAGCAGGACCCAGCTCCGTGATGTCTGCTCAGCCAGCTCCTACACCCTCACCCTGCTCCTGCAAGGCTACAAATTCAACCACACAACGTGGCCCAACATCCACTTCACCCAGCAGGTAGGACTGTCCGGCAGCYCCCAGCTTCCACACCTTGTGCCATTGAGTGCCTTGTGCCCACCCTGCTGCTTCTGGGGAAGGGGACCCAGGGCAGCCCAGCCCCACAGCCCATCCCCAGGGCAGCTCTTGAGCCACCCTCACGCAGCTGCTGGCACATCTGGCCTGGCCCTTGGTGCTCTCCCCCAGTTTATGTCACTGCTGGGGCCTCTGCAGCCCAAGGTGGGCACAGGAATGGTGGCTGTGGGGCAGGAGCTGGGGGTGCACGCTCTTCTCTATCCTGCTTGGTACTTTGCAGCGTTTCTCACCCCTGTTCCCCCTCTCTCTGTGCAGGTTGCTAATRTAGACGTGGGCTGGACTCTGGGCTACATGCTCAATCTCACCAACATGATCCCGTCAGAGCCTGCRCCGGCAGTTGTGGGGCTCCAGAGAAGCAGCTGGCTAGCAGCCACAGCTGTCCTGGCCATCATGCTCATCCTCACCTTCTGCCTGCTCACAGCCATGTGCTGCCACAGACACTCCTCAGGCTATGAACATCTGTAGTGGTGCTGCCTCGGGAGGCCACTGAGTCCTGCTGCCCCACCCGAGCGAGGAGCTGCTCTGTGGGGATCACCCCGCTGTGCCCAGGGGCCAGGAATTGTCCTGGGGGGCTCTGAGTCCCGCTCTGGTGGGCTGTAGCTGGCCCAGCTGTAAAGCCTCCTCCCCACAGCTGTGTGCCCTCTGGTTTTCCTTTGCCACGCTACTGTTGGGGATGCTCCAGGAGGGAGCTCAGCACACGGGGTCAGCGCTGTGGGGTGGCTGCAATGGGGCTCAGGGGGGCTGTCACAGCGCTGCTCACAGCCTCCAGCAGAAACCCCCACATGAGTGGGGCTCATGTGTCCTGCCCTGTCCCAGGGGCTGCATCTCCCACGGGCAGGGCTGGCCCCAGGGGCTGCGGCATCAGGGATGGGGGGATGCTGGCCTGGTGGACAGAGCTCAGGCTCTGTGGTGGGGGAATGCACAACCCCCCACTCTCCAGCATGAGGTTCCCTCAAGTCCAGCTGCAGCCCATGCCCTGTGCCTTGCAAAGAGCTCATCCTCCCTTTCCAGCACTCAGAGTGGTTTGGGAACACTGCTGGGACATCAGAGGCAGCTCCCAGGGCCCCCCTCACATTTTTGGGAAGTCCCGCTGGCAGCCAAGCGATGGGTGAGGTAAGACACCTGCTCTCAGAAGGAACAGGCCTGTCCTCATGCCTGTCTGGCTCCTCTCCAAGCTCCAGCAGATGCCTCTGTGTCTCCAGGGACACCTCCCGTGGATTCAAGCRATATTGCCCCTCCCCTGAGTCTCTGTTGTTGCCACCAGCCCTTACCTGGGAGAAGGAAGGAATAAAATCATGACTGGGAGCAAAGTAATAGGCATGTCCCCAYGTGCTGCCAGTGTTTATTTGGGTGGTAAGAGCATTCCACAGGGACACTAAAGGTCTGCCCCTTGCTGTGGGAACGCAAACAACAGTGTGAATCATCCAYAGGGCAGAACCAAAGGCAAAGGCCACATGCAGGGCAGGACTCACAGCCTGCTGGAGCCTCATCCTGACACCCACAGAGTCCAGGCCTTCTGCTGGTGGGACAGTGCTGTCTCCAGGAGGGCACTGAGGAGAATCAATGCCTTCATTCCAGAAGGCAAAAAGGAAGATGAGATGATGAGATGACATGACATGCCGTAAGAAGCTAATGATGAGATGAGATGAGATGAGATGAGATGAGATGAGATGAGATGAGATGAGATGAGATGAGATGAGATGAGATGAGATGAGATGGACTTTGTGGAGGAGCATGGACCACACTTCTGGCTTTAGGTGCTCAGTTTTTCTTCTCTCTCCAAGACCATGTCCATGTAAGCCCCAGCCCTTCCGCAGGGCCAGCTGGGCACCACAGAGCATTCCTCAGGGTTAGGGTTAGGACAGGGAACCGCCCGGCCATTGGTGACCTGCCAGGGACCCACCTGGCCATTGGTGACCACGTCAGACCTGCCAGGGACCTGCTCAGCCATTGGTGACCACGTCAGACCTGCCAGGGACCTGCCTGGCCCATGGTGACTGCGTCAGACCAAGCGTTCCACAGAGCCCCCTGTCCCCAGGTGCCCGCACTGTGCTCCACCAGCCTGTCACTGGGGGACTGTCCCATGGCCCCRGTGGGATGGAGCTGTGTCTGTAAGAGGCAGGGCAGTGATGGGAGGCACATGGAATTGGCTGCTCCCACCGGGTGCTGTGGCAGCCTGCCTCACGCTGGGGCCAGGCCATGGCACGGCTGCCCCCGGTCCCGTGCAGCTCTGTGGGTGGGTGTGTTCAGCAGGCAGGAGCACCAGAACTCCAGCACGGCCCTGCAGCCCAGCTTCATCCCTGCTGAGCTCCCAGACACGGCACTACGCCCACAGCAGCAGGAGCAGGGCAGCTAGCCCCAGGATGAGCGTGAGGATGATGAAGGTGATGGCYGCAGCCCACAGGGAAGGCATGTGTCCCTTCAGGCTGGCTGGGGCCTCGGCTGGGATCATGTTGGTGAGGTTCAGCATGTACCCCAGTGTCCAGCCCGCGTCGGCGCTCCCCACCTGCCCCATGACAGAGGGGACAGGGTTAACCCTGCTGGAGAGCCACTGCTGTCACAGGGCYACCCCTTCCTGCTCAGCCCCAATGGGGCACAGCTGCTGTCCCCACACCAGTGCCACACCGGGATGGGGACAGGCAGGGCTCTCTGGACTGTGCCTCCCCAGCACCCCGACATGGGGACGACTCCTCCCAGCACCACAACACTGGGCTGGCTCCACCCCAGCACCCCAACACGGGCCTGGCTCTCCCCAGCACCCCAACACGGGCCTGGCTCCCCCCAGCACCCCAAAACAGGCCTGGCTCCCCCCAGCATTATCCCTGCCTCTGCTCCGGGCTGGGAGCGCTGCCCACCTTCATCTGGAAGATGATGTTGTTCCAGCTGGTCTCGTTGAATTTGTAGGCGTGGAGGAGCAGGATGAGGATGTAATTGGTGTTGGTGCAGTACTTAGGCAGTCTCTTGGGATTCTCTTTKGGGTAGCTGGAAGATAACTGGGGTGGGGAATGTTTGGGGATGGAGGGAAGTTACTCACAGGCAATTTCTGTGCAGAGACAAAGCCYTGAAATGTGCTGCATGAGAGGCAGTGGCTCCACAGCATCCAGAAAAGAGACTTCAGGGCCAGGCAGTGATTTTGGACCTGTCTATACAGGSCAGCTCCTTTGGGGAGGATTTACACCCCACATGGAAACAGGCGCACATTAGAGCTCCTCCTGCCCCAGATCCTCCCACCTCATCCTCCTCACATGSAAGGGGGTCCTGCTCTCTGCCCCATGGTGTGCTGGCACATCTCTGGGCGCATCCACCCCCATTTGCTGCCCAGAGCAGCTGTGGCTGCCCCAATCCCTGGAAGTGTTCAAGGCCAGGTTGGATGCACTTAGAGCAACCTGGGATAGTGGAAAGTGTCCCTGCTCATGTCAAGGATGTGGAACAAGGTGAGCCTTCCAAACCAAACCAGTCTGAAATTCTATGATTCCATGATTTGACTCATCTCCAACATGGTGCCCGCAGCTGGCTCTGCTCTCACCATCCTCCCGTGCTACAGATCCACCCCCATCCCATCCCATCCCATCCCATCCCATCCCATCCCATCCCATCCCATCCCATCCCATCCCATCCCATCCCATCCCATCCCATCCCATCCCATCCCATCCCATCCCATCCCATCCCATCCCCATCCCCACCTCCATCCCCAGCTCCTGTGCTGGAGATGAGCTCTGGCAGTCCTTGCCTGCCCTGGCTGCCCTTTTCCCAGGCTGTGTGAGCAAGGAGTGGATGCAGGACAGCCACAGCTCCACACAGACCTCAGGGATGGCTCTGCTGTGTAGGGCACAGCTCAGAACCAGGGAGCCTGGCCCTGGAGGGGTCCCCACACCCTTCCCCCACCCCAGGACCCTCTTTTGTGAATCCACACCATAGCCTCCATCCTGAGGAACGTACATCCTCCCAGCTCCTCGTGCAGAGCTCCTCAATGGCCTGYCTGACCACGGCCAGTGGCTGCCCCTCCGTCAGGTTCAGGAACTTGAAGTTATAGTAAAAGGCAGAGAAGGCCTGGAAGGTCAGAGACAGAGATGCTGGTGAGCTGCATGRGGAACTCCTGGCAGCTGCAGCAGGAGCTGAGGCTTGTCCTTCACACGATTTGTCCCACCCCATGTGGTCCCAGGGCAGGGTTGTCCCTGTCCCAGCAGGTGATGACCTGGGAGTTGGTGCCTGCTGGTGAYAGCAGCATGGCCTGCACAGCCAGAGCCTTGCCTGAAGGCTGCTGGCTAAACTCCTGGAGTTTTACCAAAARCTTGGATTTTGACAAACCCCTGTTTTATTAACAAATCCATAGGAGTGGCCAAGGCCAGGCTGGACAGGGCTTGGARCAGCCTGGGACAGTGGAAGRTGTCCCTGCCCATGGCAGCTCAAGATGAGCTTTAAGGCCCCTTCAACCCAAACGTTTGGGGCTTGATGACTCTGGACATGGTGCCGTTGGAGATTTGGCTGGAACACCAGCAGCAGCAGTCCCCAGGCTGCCCTCAGGCTGTGGTGCTTTGGCAGCTTCTTGCCCCCGGTCCCTGCAGGGTGGTGACAATGTCACGGGGCACCCGGAGCCACTCTTCCCTGAAGGGTGGATTTGCCTTACAATGAACTGTCCCCGGAGCGGGGGTTGGTAGACGCCGTCAAAGGTGCATTCCTGGCTCTGGCCACACGCGGAGAAGTTGAAGAGCTTCCTGATGGCTGCTCGGCAGCCGCTGGCATTGCCCCTGCCCTCCAGGGTGACATTGATGTCGCCCCGGGGCAGGCGCGGGTCGCTGCTGTCGGTGCAGGGGCTGGCACGGAACGAGGACACCGGGACGGTCTCGTTGTAGCCCTTTGGGTAGCAGGGGTGGTGGACTCGTGTGCTGGGGGAYGACTCCTGGGGACAGCAAAAGGCAGCTGCAGCTCCTGCAGCCCCTCCGGGCTCTGTGGGGACACACTCAGCATCCCCCCAGGAGCCACAGGCAGCAGCATCTCCYGAGTCCTCGGCAGGGAAAGGCCCTCCTGCCCTTCAGTCCTGGTCCTGTTGGCTGTGTGCAGTCCCAGCATGAGCCCGGCACTCATTCCCACTGTGTTTTGTCTCATTCCCTCTCCCACAGAGGCACAGCAGCCTCAAAGACCCAGCACATCTCTGCCCTGGCCAGGAGGATCATTTTGGGGACATGCACAGCCCTTTCCACCCCAGCTGCAGTTCTTGTTCTGGCTCCAACCCCATCCAGGGTCACCAGCTGGGACTTTCCTGGCCATAGAGCAAGGGCAAACCCTTCTAGCTCAACAAGGCAGCTCTGCTGGAARGGTGAGCTCCATGAAGATGGTTTTGAGCTCTGACCTCCCAAAAATGGCCTGAGAAAGGTCCTCTGTTCACCTTTCTGAGGTCCATGRAGCCACAGAGTAGCTGAGGCTCAGGGAGCTGCAGATTCCCTGTGCCAACCTCTCTTAAAGTGTGACCAACTGGAGCAGGTTGCTCAGAGCCTCATCCCATCAAGTTCTGAGKATCTCCCGGGATGACGACTCTACACCATTTCTGGATCCTATTCCAATATCTGATCATTCCTATTGAGGAAAATTTTCCCCATCTGGCTGGTAACTCAGACGTTCCAGCTTGTGYCCCTGCACTTCTGACCTCTGAGAAGAGCCTGCATTTTTGTACACCCAGTATAAATCCAGAAGTTCCCAAACTTCCCCTTTMGACATGTCCCCTGTCCCTGAAAGCATCCAAGGCCAAGTKGTATTGGGCTTGGAGCAGCCTGKGACAGTGGAAGGTGTCCCTGTCCATGGCAGGGGTGGGACTGGATGGGTGTTAAGGTCCCTTCCCACCCAAACCCAAACCAGTCTGTGACTCCATGATGTCCGTGCTCCTCTCCACATTTGCCCTGCTGTGCTCCAAGGAGCCTTTCCCTTCTCCCAGCCCTTGCTCTCTCTGGAAGGGCTCTGCCTTTGTTTATGCATTAACAGGTCTGTGGTTGGCACCATGACACCACAGGTCAGTTACCCCTGAGTTCCTCTCACCACGATTAATTCCTTCGCCAGCCGCTTCAGCATCTCGTTCTGCCCGTAGCAGAGGTAGCTGTGGGTGTAGATGTTGTAGCTGTACCCGTACAGGGTYAACTCAGGGCCTTTATTCTGGCTCATCACTGAACCTTTGGGCAYAAAGGTGATTTGAGTGGATGCTCCTCCAAGGTCCAGTGCCCCAAAAATGTTGGCTGCCTCTGGACGGAGCCACATGTGTGCTTTGGGGGAGTACTGCCGAGGAGAGACACGAGAAGAGGAGGGTTAGTACAGAATGCCCTGAGCAATATTCTCACCCCATTGAAATCATCAGGACTTTTTTTTCACTAAATTCAATGGTTATTCAGTTATTTCTGTGTGTTGGGCCCCCCACTCTCCCTGCCCAGCCAGCCTGGATATTTATCAGGGGCAGAACAGAACTCTGATGGTCAGTAAGTGTCAATGTGCTGTGGGCTCTGAGTCACCATCCCCAAAGTGGGTGGTGGGGACTGGCTTGGGGACCTGCCCTTCCCGAGGAGGCTGCAGGAGGAAGGATTTCCATGCAGGAATCCTCTAACAGCCCCCACAGGAGCCCGACAGGCCAGCAGCGCACTGAGCTGTGGCAGGGCTGGGATAGAGTTCGGTCTGAGCTGCCCTCAGTCTGGCACACTGAACCAGAACTGGAGTCTCTCACAGGGAGATGGAGCTTCCCAGGGAAGAGAGACAAAGCCCAGCTGGGCTGCACTGACCTCACTGTCTCCTGAGACTCTCTGTCCTCCCAGGGTGGAGATTTCCCTGAGCTCTTACCAGACACCCTCATTCCTGAGCTTTCCCTCCTCACTCACGGTGGGCAAGCCAGAGAATGTCTCCTTCCCCTGGATCATTCCCTAAAGCCACTAACCCTGACCTSCCCTGCACCAAGAAAGCTTAGGGAAAATCAGAAAAGCTGTATTAGCAAAGGAGGGGGCATTCCAGCCCTGTCCMACCTTGGTGAAGGAGTCCAGCAGGTAGTTGATGGTGATCCAGCCATAAGCCCCCTCCTCCTCTCCAGAAAGGATCTGAGCCCCTTTGAAAGCCACAGGATACTCCTGCATGGTTTTGGCGACTTCAGCCAGGACCTGCTCTGCTGCTGAGCTGTTCTGTTCCCTAGGAAGGATGCAGAGGACGAGACAACCCAGCTACASCAGAGGAAACACGAGGAAAGAGTCTGGTTCTGTCCCTGTTCCARCTCCTGGTTGTGCAAAAAGCAGCCTGTTTGAAAGGGTGATTCCTGCTCTGTGACTTATCAGAGCTGCCTGTACGGGGTAAATCCCAGCTGTCTCAGCTTGCTTTACCAATCTAGGGGCAATAGCAACCTCTGGCCTCCAGTGCAGCTYGGTCCCAGACACCCAGAGCTTTCCCAGGCCACCCTTCCCTGCCTCAGTGCTGGGGGCTGGAGAGGATCATGCTGCAGGACCCAGMTTTGGACATCACCCGCTGGCTGTGCCCAAGCAGGGCTGGTTGCTGATCCCCAGGGTCTTTTTGGGAAGGTTCCAGCCTGGGTTCAGACCTCTCAGTGGGGAAGATGTCTCAGGGCTGTTGTTGCTCTCTGAAACAAGCAACCTTCAGGCCATGGCCCAGCTCCTTCCCAGGTCTGACTGCCAGGGCATGGAAATAACGTGAGCTATCTGCAGCCATCAAACCAAGAGCTGTGAAATGAAGGTTGGCATTTGAAGAGAGCTCATATGGGCTGGTGAAAGGTGAGGACAGGACCTGCAGCACTGCATCACCTCCTGCCTCTGCCCCACTCACCCTCCAGCACCCATCCACCTAGGCAGGTGGCTCATCTCCTGGTGGCATCCCAACCCCCTTAATTTTCGGGAATAATGAAGAGCAAAGAGAGCTCTGAAAAGCATTTCTTGCTCGGAACTGGGTATGCATCACCGTCCTGGAATGTCCCAACAGACATTGTCCAGAGGCTCAGGACAGTTCAGCCAGCCCTGTGTCCCCACCAGGCTGCCTTTGCCCTTCTCCCCAGTCACTTGCCCATGGCTGTGTGGGAGCTGGGGTGCTGGCCCTGTACAGGACACTGTTGTGGCAGGGRCTGTTTGTCCCTGCTGTCCCCTCCTGCACCCAGCCATACCTCAGCAGCCTCATGCCAGCCGTTGCTCCGAGATAAGCTGGGACATCCCTCTGCTTCTCGGCAGGAACAGCCACCAGGGCTTTATGCAGGCACTCCCTTAAGGAATTGCCAGCTTCAGGGGGATTGTTGGTATAGCTTGAGATGCCTTGCCCTGGAAAAGAATTCACAATGGGACAGGCTGATGGCAATGGCTCGGGCCAGGCTTGTGAGAGCAAGAGGGCACAGGGCAGTGACAGCTGTCACCTCTTAGCCCCAAAGGTGCTTTGCCAGGGTCCCCTGGTCCCATGAGATCTGACTGAGTCACACCCCCATTCCTCTCCCATATGTCCCATGCTTTCAGCAGTGTCCCCAGCACCATGGGTGACACCTCCCCAGCCAGAACAGCAGCTAGGGGCACTCCAAGGTGGAGGAACAAAACTGATTCACCATCGAATGCTTCAGTCCCACCCAGTGGGAACCAAATGGTGCTGTGGCTTGGGGATCAGGGAACGTCCAGCCACAGCCACAGCTCCCCCGTGCCTGTAGTGCCAGCCAGGTCACCCCACCCACCACACGAACACACAGGGCAGGACAGAGCCCATGGCAGGGGGATACTGACCCTGGACATCACAGGACAAGGTCTGGCTGACCACTGCAGTGTCATTCTCCTTGTCTGAATCCCACTCGTAGACAAACAGAGAGGTGTGAGATGAGCCCGCGTCAAACACCAGCCCATACTGGGAGGGAAACAAAGACATCATGAAGGGGGAAGAGCAGCAGCCTGGCCCCGGCCCCACTGTGACCCTGCCAGGGCAGTGGGGCCAGAAGATGCCCCAAAACCCATATCAGAGGCACAGTTGTGCCAAGGCAGAGCAGAGCAGTGGCCTCAGCCCCCACAGTGATTGAGGGATTTTGTCATTCCTTCTCCTGAGGTCTGTGCTGYAATGCCAGCTCACACAAACATTTCCTGTTGTTTCCTCATGCTTTTTTATTTTCTTTCATGGTCACATACCTTTTGTGTCCACACTGGCCCCACCTTGGGGCCTGCAACTCTGCCTGCATCTCTGGTGCTCCCTGCTGCCCCATGGTGCTCCCCAGCCTGGCAGGGACTGGCAGGGCCCCTCCAGGAGCACTCAGCCACCTGCCTGTCCCCCACAAAGCCCTCCAGCTCACCCTAAATYCCTGCCAGCCCTCTGCCAGCAGCTGGGGGGATGCCATGCTCAAGACACTACATGTGGAAGCAGGATGCCAYGGTGTAAGTGGGTTGGGACAGGCTGGGGGGAGCTGGCAGGAGCAAAGGGCACACAGAGGGGCCATGCCCCACACTGCCCTAGGGCTCTGCCCTACCCATCTGCCTGAGGTAATCTCCTCCAAAGCTGGCACAGCGTGGTGACAAGTTCCACAGAAGGCTTTTCGCTGTGACTTGGAGCTGGCCAGGCTGCGTTTCTCCTGCCTGCACCTCGAGGTGGGGACAAAACACCCACCCTGCCATTGCCAGGCAAGTCCTGACCCCACTTCCCCTCCTAGCCCCACGGACCAGCTGCTGGCTCTGGCACCTGCCCAAGGTGACTGGGCCACCACAGGWGCTCAGGGACCTTCTCTGGGCTCACCTTGACCGTGGGTGGCAGCGTCACATCTTCAACCCTCACCAGGCTGAGAATCAGGGCGATGATGGAGAGTGACACCAGCACCCCAACAATGGCACTGGTGAAGGGCTTCTTCTTAGCCAGCATTGGGGTGAAGGCTCCTGAAAACCCAAACAGGGCAGAAAGGTGCTTGGACAGCTGGGAACAATGGTGCCAGTGAAAGCTGCAGGGACATCCACTCTGAAAGGTGACGCCTGTCTCAAGCTGTGCCRCTCAGAAATCCTGGTGAATAGTCAGCTCTCTTCGTGGGAAAAGCAGTATTAGAATAAAATACCGGCAGCTGGAAGAAAGAGGSGTTGGTTGCCCAGCAGCCTGGCAGAGACATGATGGATCACAACAATCTTCCAGGTCCCGCACCCGCCCCTGCCCAGCTGCCCACTGCTGGCAAGGACCAGGTCTGGGAGGGGTGGGAGGAACTCTGCACWGAACAGAGGAGAGAGAGCACGGGAATCTGCAGCAGCCCTCAGTGTGAGGTACTAAAGGGAGGGGGCTGCAGTTCACAGGCTGTGAGAAAGGTCAGCTCACCTGGGGCACTCCCAGAGCYCTGCACCCAGCAGCACCCAGGCTGTGTCCCGGTGGGACCCCTCAGGGTGGGCTCTGTGCTCCCCCCAGTGCAGCAAACCCAGCTTGGACTTGCCTTTCATATCCTCTGGAAGTGGATACTGCTAGAAAACCTTTCCTCCATTGTTTTCTCCAGGAGCTCATCAGCCTCAGGTGAAACTCTCCAATATCTGTTSTGTGGTTTGCCTTGTAGGTGTATATTCATTGCCCAGTTTGGGATTGTCCTTATCTTCGGCCAATTAGTTCCTCCTCCTCCTCATTTGTTAACCCTTGTTCCTCTGAGGARGGTGCTGTCACACCCTCTGCTCTCACCAGCCCTGACACTTCCATTCCAAGTTCTCTGCAKGGTCTGTAAGAGGTGAAGGGACATTTGCAGTATCCAGGGCTCTGGAATCTAACAGGGTGGTAGGTACCTGCTAATGAGTTTTACTACAATGAGATGGAAACRTCAGAGGGAAGGATTGCCCTGCTCWGGGGTCTCAGCGACACTGCTGGGCTTTGCTGTGACACAGGAGAAGCCAAGACACTGTCATGGCCCAGGGGGSCTGTGGTCACCCCTTGCCTGTGTGTGACCCCGCTTTGTGCTGCTCCTGGGGGTCCCTGCAGATCCCGAGCAGAGGTCAGCGAGTGCAGAGGACTCAGGAGTTCCCTGGAAGGGCTGGGAACAGAAACCTGCTCTCTCCAGGCCATCCAGCCGAGCTGTTTCCTGCTGATTCAGCTCCCTGATAAGAGCCTGGCGGGGCTATCACAAGGATCTGCGGGCAAGGACCCAGTTCCAGCTTCCTGAGCTGAGTCAAACGGGGCAGTTCCAGGGGGAAATGCTGTGCTGGGGAGCCCTYATTGCCCCTGATCCTGCCCAGCACCTTTGCGGTGTTTCAGAGGTGCTGCTGTTTGCACTGGCAATGTCACTGTGCTGTGACGCAGTCCCCGGTGCTCTCATAGCTCWGGGTCACTCCCTCTTCCTTGTTGTCCCTAATCTGGGATCTTGCACCCCGTGTGCGAGAAGCAGATTCATGAACTGAGTCGAGATAATGGTTTAATTTCCCATCTATGCACAGGTGGGTGCTGGCTGGTGAATCACCAAAGCTGACACACCCTCAGCATGCCAGGTGCCCAATTTTACACATTTGAAGCAACAGACATCAGCATTTCCCTAGAGGTGACAACAAAAAGAGCAGCTATTGGTTTTGCAATCTCTGCCTCATTTAAAGATACCCTGCACACTCCTTTTACAGCTCATGCTCTGTGGGGAAGGGGTTTCTGTGAGTAAGGGGTGATCACAGCCTGTGGGCAGGKGTTTTACTATGCTGAGCACAGTAATCACACAACATTCTTCTTTGGCTTTGTAATTTGATTTATAGCATCCTCCCGCTTTTCAGTTCTCCAGTCATGGCTCTCAGTTTCTGCAGGATTGGTTATTCCCTCATCTTTCCTAAATTCTTTTGTTTGTCCTGTACTGCATGGATTTTTAACCACATATATGTCCACAGCGCATTTCCCGTAAGTCTCACCCTATTTCTGGAAAAACATAGTTGACTCTTCCCTGAAAGAACAAAATAAACATGTATTCTTTCATTTTGTGATAGGATGGCATGTCAGGACAGTCTCTMTGGGCTCAGGGCACTTCAGCATTCCCATGGCAATCTCCTTTGRGGTGGCTCCTGAAGCCCAGAGGGTGCCACCCCTCCTGCATTCCCACCTCCACACCAAGCATAACCTTTGGATTCTGATGGATCCAGTGGAAGGGGTGAAGGAGTGTCCCTGCTCTGGAAATGCCCCGCTGCCTGCACAGGGCTGTTCTGAGGGGGGGTCTTGTCCCACTCAGCACAGAGAGGCACTGAACAGCTCTGGTGGCATTGTCAGTGGCTGTGTGTGCCCAGAGAGGACCAAAACCTCCAGCTCCAAGTCCAAACACAGCATGAGCAACTCTTCACTCTTCCTGTCCCTTTTCATAGTAAAGAAATAGTCCCAGAGGTTTTGTTGAGGGGCTGTTCCCCTTGCCCATGCTGGCCCCAYGTGCAGCCCTGACCTTCTGCCAGGTGATGCTGGGGTGTTGCCCTGGCTGGGCTCTGGGTGCTGAATCACAAGGATTTGCATGGAAGGACACAGTTCCAGCTGCCTTATCTCAGCTGAGTCCAACAGGGCAATGCTGGGAGGAAAATGCTGTGCAGGGGAGTCCTCATTGCCCCTGACCCTCCCAGCAACACCCTGGCAACACCCCAGCCCTGTGCTTCCTTCCTCCAGCCCTCAATTCTCTTCAGACAATCCCACCCAAAGGGCTGTCTCTGCTAAAATTCAGGGTGTCAGGGTGATGAGGTGTACGAGCACCACAGCACCTGGAAGGTGCCTGGCCCAGGAGCACCTTCTCTCACGTGGCTCTCCTTGCCCCAGCCCTGTTTAGTGTCRGGGCTGGGCTCTGCTGAGAGTGAATTGTGCTGTTTGCTCGTAATTGAGAAAGGGACCAAATGTCTCATTCTGGCTTCTGATAGACAAATCTGCAGCGAAGAAGTGTGGCTAGAGTACACACACACCCTGTTTGATCTGCTTTTGACATGTATTTATTTGCCCGTGGCCCTTGCAGTGACTGTGGGACCTAGAAGGAAGTTGTCGGGCTGGTGTGGGGCTCCAGCCCAGCCATTGCTGCCAGGCACTGGGCTGACTGGTGTTTGTGAAATGACATCACCTCCATTGCAAGCCCCTTCCTGGTGCCTTCTGAGAGAAAAGCACCCTGACTCAGGTTTAAAAAAGGGACTCTCATTTCCCCAGCACTCAGTTATGCTCCATGAGGTCACCCCCATGCTGGGGTGGGAGGTGCAGGCAGTGGCCCTGAGCACATCCCATGTCTCCAGGTGAGCTTCTCCTGCCCTGTGTTCCTCTGCTGGACATACCCTGTCCCAGCAGGGCCCAGCCCCAGCCCCCCTTTCACTCTGAGTGCAGCAGGACTGGTGGAGTTTGGGCCATTTGAAGCTTCCTTGTGGATCCCTGGCTGTTCCTGGCTGGCAAGCAGCACACCAGACCTGTACTCCTGTGCACCCCTTTCCCAGTGATCAAACATGGCCTGGCTGCCCTGAGTGTGACAGTSCTGGTGCCACCTCCCAGCTGGGGGTGCTCCCAGGCAGGGACATGTACCTGGAGCCACCCATGGACAGCCCAGTCCATTCCCATCCCCCGGCACAGCTACAGCAGCTCCTACCCCCAGGGTGCTCAGGTGGGGCTCAGCACAGCACCTGCACCCCATGAGACCCCCAGAATTAATGACATCAATGGAAACATCGGTCTTTCGATGGCAGCAGTGGCTGAGCCCCCAGGGCAGGGTGCCAGGGGATGGACACAGCTCCCTGCTGGGGGTCAGTGTGTCCAGCACTGTGGTCATGGGCTCTGTGCCTGCTGGGATGGAGGGATGRGGGGAGGGATGCTCCAGGAGCCTGGGGTACCCTCTCACAGCTATGTGACCTGACAGAACCAAGGCCAAGGTATTTCAGGTGTGACTCATGAGAGCCTCAGGCACGGACTCTCCTCTGAACCCTGAAGAGTTTTCCCCTGAGCACAGGGAAATGAGGATGAAGCCCCCTCAGGGGGTGGGGGGGGGGATTTGGATTTTCCCTTCCACTACTGTCACAGTGAGTGGCTGGGGACAGCACAGGAGGGAGATTGAGGCAAGAAGCAGCTCTGGAGATGTCTGATTGCCTCCAACACAATCATGGTGCCATGAGAAAACAAGGCAGAAGGTGAAAGGATGAGGGATGGAGATGTCTGTCCCTCACTAATGCCAGGGTGACAGAACTGCTCCAACCACCACCTCMGTGTGCTTCCAGGAGGCAGCTCCCAGGCCAGAGCCACCCACCACACTGGGGTGCTGAACCACCCGTGCACTGAGGAAGCCACATGGTCCCCAGGTGCTGCCCACGTTGAGATGCAGGGAGGGATGGAGGTCCCAAGGGCCATCCATTCCCAGTGGTCTCATTTGGGAGCCCCCTTGTCCCTCTGGAGGCTCAGGTCAAGCCAGACCCTGCCCTCCAGGAGCATGGAGCCCATCTGTGACCGCCTTCTCTCCTGTTATTGCACCCATCCCTGATTCCAGGTGGCTCTCCAGGGGCTGCTCCTGTCCCCACAGGAGCTGGGACATGCAGAGAGGGCTGGCAGCCAGTGCCAGTAGTGCCCCCTCTGTCACAGGAATGCTGGTTTGGCCCCTGGGCTGGCCTGTGCGGAGGCTCCTTCCCCACCAGCCCAGGGTTCAGAGAGCTTTGGGGCTGGGGTCTGCAGCAGCCTGGGGAAACTGCATCAACTGCCAGACCTCCAGTCTGGGAGCTGGGGCATTCCTCTACTGCTGAGTTTGGGAAAGGCCCAGCTGGARGCAGTACCTAACCACCAGCCACAGCAACAAAAATAAACCCAGAGGGGAGATTCTCATCTTTGCCAGAGCGTGTTCCATTGTGGAGAGTCTCCTGCCCCATGCCAAAGACCTCAGTGCTCGCACCGGGCAGGGAATGGGTGTCAGGGGCCCCTCAAGTTATGTCAGCAGGTGGAGGGTCCAGCAGGATTTCTGCAAGAGGGAAGGAGCTCTGTGTGGCCACAGGCTGGTGTCCCAGCACTGCCCACTGCTGGGTGCCAGGGCAAATGCCMCAGCAGGGTTTGTTCCAGGACTTGGTGGCCCTGGGCACAGCAGGCGACTCCTCTGCACCAGGCACAAATCCTGGGAAAGGACRTAGCTAGTCCTGGCTGCCAGACCATGCCCCCACCCCAGCACCCCTCAGGGCAGCACAGCCAGTGTCACTGTTCAGCACTGTGTCATCCCTGTGTCCCTACACATCCCAGGGAACTGCCTTACCTCACAGGAGCAGGTAATGCTGGGAYGTGTTGACGGCTGGCTCGTCCCAAAGGCAGCAGCAAAGCACTGGCAAAGCCACTTGCAGGCGAGGCACTGGGGGTGGCACACACGAGGATGTGGCACACAGGGGGCTGTGGCACTGTCCCCTTGTGTCGGGCACCACGCCCCAGCAACTGGTGTTAGTTTGGGGCTGACCATCCCAGCCGGGCAGCAGGAAATGCTCGGTGTCTGTCAGCGTCGCAGCGAGGCTGAGGGATGTGATCATCCATTTGATCTTCTTCGGCTGCAATGAGCCCCTTCCTTAGTTTATTAATGAGCTGCTGGTTGGGAGTGTCCAAAGGCCCCATGGGTCCCCAGGGCCACTCAGTGAGTGTCCCCTCGTGACTCAGAGGCTTTGCTGCGCATCCTGCCCGTCTCCGTGTTCCTCAGCTGCTATGGCTCCAGTCCCTCAGCCCTATAGGAGACACTGACCCCACCCAGCTCCCAGCCCCATGGCCCCCCCAGCCCCACACCAGTGACCCTGTGCCACTGCTGACACTGTTTGTGTGACAGCAGGTGATGGAACACCCGCGGGCTGTGCGCTCAGGGTGATTGGGGGTGTTGGTACAGCCACACCAAGAGGGGAATGACCTCACACCCTGTGAGCTGCAGGTGATGAGGAGCAGTTGGCTGCCTCCTCCCTGTCCTCGGCCAGGTGAGTGCATGAGTGGCTCCAAGGGGCCCAACCTGAACACCTGGGGCTGCTACAATGACACCAACCCTSGGAAATCACTTCCCAAGGTGAAGCAGGAGCTGAAGAGCAGCTGTGAGGCAGGTCCAGTGCCACCTCAGGGTGTGCAAGAATCACAGAATCGCAGAATATCCTGGGCTGGGAGGGRCCCCCATGATCATCCAGTCCAGMYCCTRKCCCTGCCCAGACACCCCAACAACCCCACCCTGTCCATCCCTGGCAGCGCTGTCCAAACGCTCCTGGAGCTCTGGCAGCCTCGGGGCCGGGACCATTCCCTGGGGAGCCTGGGCAGTGCCAGCACCCTCTGGGGACAGAAGAATCTTTCCCTGATCTCCAGCCTGAGCCTGCCCTGGCCCARCTCCAGCCATTCCCTGGKTCCWGTCCCTSTYCCAGAGCAGAGATYGGAGCTGCCCCTCAGGAGGAGCTGCAGAYCCYGGGTGAGGTTTGAYCTCAGTCTCCTYCAGCTGAACAATCCCAGTGCCCTCAGCTGCTCCTGAGAGCCCGTCCAGACCCATCAGCCTCCAACGTGYCMCTCCTTTGAACACTCTCTGACRGCTTTAGATCTTTCTTACAATGTGGTGTCCAAAACTGYCCCCAGGACTTGARGTRAGGCTGCYCRGGCCCAGAGCAGARCAGGACAATCCCYTCCCTTAACTGGGAGAGCACTGAGCAAAAGGGATACTCCTGTCCTGTATCCTCCTGGTATGTGCCCAGGATGGGCCACCTGGAGTGTCTGGGGACATGGAGCCAGGTGCCACTTGAAAGAGGCTGGTGGGCAGTGTGTCACACTGAGCATCCAGCCCCCTGTACAGATGASTCTGGGCTGGATCTGTGTCAGTTCATGGATCCTGCTGGCCCGGGTTTCTGGCTCTCCACCACTGTTGTGTGACAGCCCGGCGGGCCAGTAGCAGCACGAAGGGACAGCATGAAGGGACAGCCAGTGTCACCGAGGGGAGCTCCTGCGCAGTGCCCAGAGAGAAGAGGAGCAGCGCTGGCCTCGTCGGCATCAGAGGATCTCACGGGGACATCAGCCCCACCAACACCGCCCTGGTGGCTGGCAGCAGTGACACAGCAGAGCAGTGACAAGGCAGTTCCTGTCCCTGATCCCACCTGCACAGGGCACCAGGGGAGAGAGGGAGGGGACAGAGGCAGAGCTGGCCTGGGAGTAGCTGGGGTTGGAAGGGAAGCCCTGGCAGCCAGGAGGGGTTTGGTCAGAGGGAACAGTCAGCACTGAGCACACAGGTCTGTAACACAGCRTGGGAAGGACACCAGAATCTGGGCTGAGGGCGAGGGGCAGATCCATCATCCCCAAACACCCTCMTGGTGGGAACTGGACAGGAGGGATGTCAGGATGCCCCTGGCACTGGGACTTCACTGTGACATTATCACTTCACACACTGGTCTGCACTTCCATGAGGAACACTGAATTCCTGCTKTTCTCTGGAGACTCTGAGGACAGTGGTTGCACCCCAAAGCTGGGGCTYAGTGAGACCCCCCGCTTCAGAACCAGCATCAGCCGTGCACACTCCTGCCCTACCCACTCCCTTGTTTCTATATTTAGAAAATGGAGTGAAATACAAAGAAGAAAAATCATATTCCTGTTCAAAACCACACATATCAGTGATCTCAACATGATCTTTCAAAACCCTGTCAGAAGGGATGAAATGCTGAAGGAATGAAGTGCTCAGGAAGGTGAAGGGACAGATGGAAATCCATGAGCCAGCTGCTGGGCAGGGCAGGGCAGGGCAGCAGTCTGGGCTGTACCAGATCTACAGCAACTATCCACCCTCCAGCAATTCCTGCTCTCCAGGCAGCAGTTTTAGGTACAACTGCTTTCTAGGCAAAGAGAATGTTATAAATAAACCCGATCCTTCAACACATTTTTATTCTAAAATAAAATAACTGTCACACCCAGTAGCGCTCGCAGGACACGACAAGGCAGGAGCTGAGGGAGCACAAACAGGGATGGGTGTGGAGCTTTYGGACAAACGTGATGCTCTGCAACACGGGCGCCAGCCGGGGCACAGCCCCTGTCCCAGACTGTCCCCTGCCCCTCGGCACGGACACTGCGGCGGGAGCAGCCCCAGGAGCATCCCCGGGAGCACTGCCGGGTGTCCCCACACTGTGCCGGGGCTCAGTTCACGCGGCACGCCCGGATCATCAGCAGCTGCAGCAGGATGAACACGGGAGACATGATGAGCCCGTACCAGAGCTCCCGCGTGTGCTCCACCAGCTTCTGGCACAGCAGCATCTCGAACACGAACTTGAGGCTGAGGATGGTGAGGATCCAGAARAGCCGCAGCACCGCCAGGCGCTTCTCACCGTCCTGGAACAGCCGCACGGACACGATGGTGGTGAAGTAGGTGCTGAGCCCGTCGGCGGCAAAGAAGGGCACGAACACGATCCACCAGGAGAGCGCGGCGGCCGCGCCGTCCACCTTGAGCACGAGCAGCACGGAGAAGGCGAGCAGGGCCAGCCCGTGCAGGAAGATCTCGAACGTGGCGAAGCCGAGCCACTGCACGAGCTCCCGCAGGGAGAACAGCATTGTCCGGGGCTACGGCACCGGCACCGGCCTGGCCCGGGCACCGACACTGGCACCAAGCCCTGACCGACACCAACCCCGGCCCGGCACCAACCCCGGCACCGGCACCAGGCCCGGCCCGGCACCAACCCCGGCCCGTGAATGGGCACCGGCACCAAGCCCTGAGCCGGCACCAACCCCGACCCGGCACCAGCACCAAGCTCTGACCGGCACCGGCACCAACCCCGGCCCGGCACCGGCACCGGCACCGGCAGCAGGCGCTGTCCGGCCCCGGCCCGTGAATGGGCACCGGCACCAGGCCCGGCCCGGCCCGGCGGCGCGGGGCGATGGCGTCACGGGGRGAGGCGGTGATCGGATGACGTCATCAGGCGTGAGGGACGGTGCCCGGGCAGTCCCGGCCCTCAGCCGGGGTGATGACGTCAGCGGGAGCTGTCGCGCAGTGGTGACGTCACGGCGGGATGGGGCCGGTGCACGGTGAGTCCCGCGGAGCCGGGCGGGATCGGCCCCAGGGCCGGGGGTGCTCACCTGGAGAGGAGAATCACCGGGGAACCCCTGCCAGCGCCTAAAGGGGCTCCAGGAGAGCTGGAGAGGGACTGGGGACAAGGGATGGAGGGACAGGACACAGGACAGGGCAGGGATGGATGGGATATTGGGAAGGAATTGTTCCCTGGGAGGGTGGGCAGGCCCTGGCACAGGGTGCCCAGAGAAGCTGTGGCTGYCCCTGGRTCCCTGGCAGTGCCCAAGGCCAGGCTGGACATTGGGGCTGGGAGCAGCCTGGGACAGTGGGAGGTGTCCCTGCCATGGCAGAGGTGGAATGAAATAAACATTAAGGTCTCTTCCAGCCCAAACCACTCTGCGATWAGGTGATACTATTTTTTTTTATTATGATGATGATTTCATTTATTGTTATTCTATGGGTGACAGCACCTGTTTGCTGCTTAGCATCTCTCTGGGTTGGATTCTCTCCAGGTTGGGCTCCTCCTCTGTCAGAGCCTCGCAGAGAGCTCTGTGTGTGTCTGGTCACACCTTTGTGTCCCTGAGCCTCCAGGCTCTTCCCCAGGCCCCTCAGGTGAGGGAGGATTCACAGGGCTCACAGGAAAGTTAAACCCTGAAATGGGGTACAGCTGATTCCAGGGCTGCACTCCCCCTGTGCTGGTGAGGACAGTTCAATGAGCCAGGATATGGATTTTAGTCACTCCTGGCAGTGGGGACAAGCAGCACAGCTTATCCTACTGGCTGGGACATGGGATCACTCTCTCAGTGCTGCACAGGGGTGGGAAAAGAGCCTGGGAGCCTTGAATCCCAGTGCTCAATCCCAACCATTCATCCCTGTGCTGGCTGTGTGCTGTTCAGCCCCACGGGTACCCCTGCACCCCCAGCCCCTGGGTGGGGTCGATGCTGCTGAGCCCAGGGCAGGCCCAGCTCTGCCTCCCCTTGTCTCCCTTCCCTCGGCTGATCCCCTGCTGTTGTCTCTTGCAGATGGCAGAACGGAGACTGCTCGTTCTTTTTGGCAGCCAGACTGGGACAGCTCAGGACACKGCCGAGAGGATTGGGAGAGAAGCCAAGCGCTGGCACTTGCGGTGCCGAGTGGAGGCCCTGGACAGCTGTGATGTGGTGAGTGGGACACGGGGGCTGCTCCAGGCACTGCTGCTCCTGCTCCATCTCCACCAGCCCCATGGACAGGGACACCTCCCACTGGACYRTGGAATCATAGAATATGCTGAGTTAGAAGCAGCCCATCAGGATCATCCAATCAACTCCTGGCCAGGCCAGGACACCCCAACAATTGCACTCTGACCAAACACTAATGAACTCTGACAGCTCATTGCTTCAAGCCCTGTCCAACATGGCTTTGAGCACTTGCAGGGATGGGGAGTGCACATCCTTGCTGGGCAACCTGTGCCAAGGCTTCACCACCCCCATTAGGAAGGAAATTCTTCCTAATATCTCATCTAAACCTGTCCTCCTTCAGCTTTGTGGCCATTYCCCCTTGTCCTGTCCCTCCAGGCCCTTGTCCCAAGTGCTTCTGCAGCTSTTCTGGAGCTCCTTTAGGCACGGGAAGGGGCTCTAAGATCTCCCTGGAGCCTACTCTTCTCCAGGCTGAACACCYCCAGYTCTYCCAGCCTGGCTTCAGYRTGGTTTGGAGGCTGCTGACCTGACTGTGCCATGTTTGTATCCACAGGCCAACCTCATCCACGAGCCTTTGGTGGTGTTTGTGTGTGCAACCACTGGCCAGGGAGACCCACCYGACAACATGAAGGTAGGGTGTGCTCCTGTTCTGTTGCTGTTATATTCCTGCTCCAGAGCTTTTTCTCTGAAGCAGCTCAAGCAGTGGTTGTTTTTACTGGGGGGAGCTTTGCAGCAGCACCATCCCATGGCACATGAGCAGGGGGCTGAGGAGGTGACTTGCAGGGGTCACTGCTGCAGAAAGCGTGCTCCCCACTCTGCTGGGATTCAGGAGGGACSCAGTGGGTGGCTGAGCAGGGATGTGGGGACAGGCAGGCAGGGAAGGTGCCTTGGCAGCAGCAGGACTCTCCAGCTRTGTCCCTCGTAGATGTTCTGGCGGTTTCTGTTCCGGAAGAACCTCCCAGCCGGCTCCCTGTGCCAGCTGGACTACGCCGTGCTGGGCCTCGGTGACTCCTCCTACCCCAAGTAAGCAGCTCTGCAGCTCCTGGGCAGCTGCTCCTTACAGCTCTCTGCAGTAGAGACCAGAGTGGCTGGAGAACAAAGGGGGTAAGGGGAKACAGAGTTTGACTCTGGAGCAGCAGCTCAGACAAAATGTAATTCCTATCAGCCTTAAAAATCTTTGTCCTACCAGCCTGTGTCCCTYCTAATGCCCAGGAATTAGGCTTCTGCCCTTTTCTTTTCCTCCTGACCTCTCCAAGGATGCTTTGCTGCAGTGCGTCAGACACCGTGTGCCAGTCCTTTATCACAGTCATGTAGTTTTCCATGTGAACTGCAGGAAAGCCTGTACACTATCCAGGGCCAAGGAGATGTCAAACAGAGGTGGCAGCCAGCCCTTTTGGTTCCAGGTCTCTCCCAGAGTATTGTTCCTGTATGCCYCCAAAGAGCTGTAGTGGGAGGGCTGGGTGTGCCTGAGCTCTGTGGGGCAGTGAGGGGCTGGAGGGAAGGAAATGTTCCATGGCCCAGGACACAAACTGCCCTGAAGGGAAGCTGCACCTCTCCTTGTCCCATGTGGGAGCTGGGCACAGCCTGTGAGGGCCAGCAAGTGGCCCTTTTTGCTGGGGGAAGCTTTGCAGCAGCACCAGTCACATCCCATGGCACACGGGCATGGAATTGGGGAGGTGGCTTGCAGGGGCTGAGCTAGTTCTGTGAACTGGCATAGGCTGGGCAGGGTGTGGGCCACGTCACAGTGCCAGCTCTGCATGTGTGCTGCTCTGGTGACCCTGGCAGTGTGTGCTGGCTGCTGGAGCAGCCCTGCCCTGTGGTATTCTCTGCTCAGGTTTAATTTTGTTGCGAAGAAGCTGCACAAACGGGTGCTACAGCTCGGGGGCAATCCRCTGCTGCCAGTGGCCTTGGGAGATGACCAGCATGACCTGGGGTAAGAGCCCAAAGGTGGGTGGCAGGAACATCCCTGGGGTGTGCTGCAGCGCTGTCCTGGGGCTGATGGCAGGGCTGTGTGTGCTTTACCCCAGCCTGGGCACAGCAGTAGGCTGCTCCCACATGGGGCTGCTTCTGCAGTTCTCTGGGAATGTCCTGATCTCTTCTCAGAGCCTCCTGGGCCAGGACCTGGGCCACCTGTTTCTCCAGGGTGTCTCATGACCCCGAGAACATGGCCATGACTCCTGGCCAGTCCCAGCCTTGTTCAGAGCAGGGCATGGCTGTGTCACATAGCTCTGTACCTGCAGGCATTACTGCAGCCTCAGTTGTTCTCACCTGACATGGGGCAAAAGCTGTGGATGGCTCGGGGAGTCAGTAACCCCACAGGTGCTGCTTTGGATCAGGGGGTCCTGTTCAAGCAGCAATGGTTGGGCCCCAGAGAGTGAGCCAGTGAGGGCTTAGAGTGCCTAAGATACGTTCATCTTCGACCTGAAGCTGGAAGAGAATGGCCTGGGGTGACTGTGGAGGTGATTGTTGGGCGGGAGCAAGGGTAGCAAGGCTCCATCCTGAAGGAATGATGTTACACTGCTGCAGCCTGAATTTTCCCCTTGCAGGCCAGATGCAGTGGTTGATCCCTGGCTCGTGGCCTTATGGGACAAGATCCTTGCCTTGTATCCTCTCCCTCCTGGCCTTGAGATCATCAGTCCCGACGTGCGGTGAGTGCAGGGSGTGGGCATGGATGGCTGGGGCTGGCTGGGGTGAAATGCTCTGCATCCTTGGCTGTTCTCCAGAGTGGGGATGCGCTCTGYTTGGAGCAGGAGCCCTCCCCACACAGCCTCTGCTGTCCAAGTGTCTCCTGTGTTTTGGCCACCAGTGACCCGTCTCTGGCTGGATGTCCATTTGTCCCTGGGGGCGCGTGGCAGCTGTCTGCCCATCTTGTTGTTCTGATGTGCCTCTGCCCCTGGCAGAGCTGTGTGCCCAGACAGCCTCCCTCTGCCTGCTCTGGAGCCTTTGGATCTCCTCCTGGTAGTGTTCATGGCATCCCCTTGCACAGGCCAGCTCCAGGGGRCAATGGGTGGTGGATCCAGTGGGGGATTCCAAGCCTCTCCCTGCCTCTCATCTTGCAGCAGTGAGGAGCTGTGGCATGGAGGTAACCCYGCTGCATTGCTCTCCTCCCCACAGCCTGCCCCCCAAATACACCCTGCACTACCTGCCTGAGGACTCCCCACACCCTGGCAGTGACCTGCTGCAGCCAACAGCACCCCAGGGTGCTCCCTGCGAGCTCCATCCCTTTGCTGCCCGCGTGGTGTCCAACAAGAGGGTCACGGCACAATCCCATTTCCAGGATGTCCGGCTCATCGAGTTCGACATCGCAGGCTCAGGGATCACGTGAGCATTCTCCTGACTCCCCCAAGCTTTGCTGTGTGGGACCACATGTCCTGTAGCCTGCCCTCCTCTTCTGCTGGTGTCTGAGGCTGTAGCCTTGTGGTCGTGGTCCCTGCTGCGAGTCCCCATCCATGGCATCAGGAGTGTATGGGGTGGGGGTCCTGCCCACAGACCAGCTCCCTTTGCCTGTCAGACAGAGTTTGTCTCCCCTGTGGTSGGTGCTGGTTGGGGTGGYAGTGCTGTGCTTGTGACTCTGCCCYGTGGCTCTGCRTGGCAGCTCCCACTGCACCCACAGGTTC